AAAAGGATTTTATGATCATTTTCTGGTTCCGTTATAACAATGGTTATAATTTAGAAAAACTGATTAATTGATTTCATCAGAAATTTGCTCTACTCTTCAAATTCTTAATTTCTCGATTTTTTTTGAAGCTTTTAATATAATTAAATAATTTTCGAAATTGTCTTAGAAGATCATGATTCTTCTTTTTATATCTGTCGTAGTTTTTTTCCACCATACATTTCATGCGGCTAAAAATCGAATAGTATAATTAAATACTTAAACTGCAAGCATCACAAAATGAGCAATCATATTCTACCGAAATGAAAAATTCCTTATATACGACAATATCGTAATACGATATCTCTCAGTATCAGCTGGATTTGTCATGACAAAATTATAAAAAAAGTATTAGAAAATATAAATTTTATTTGCCGTTTATTTTAGAACTTCACGTTCAAATTTCACCCCGAAATGTCTTTTTTTTTCCGTTCAAAAAACCAATTTAAATTAGTGTGTCTTAAAATAATACGTGACAGTTTAAAAATAATATGTGACAATACCACAGAATCTAAAGAAAACATGCTGCATAATGTGGCAAAGATGGTTTAAAAATTTGAAATGATAAGCCTTATCTTACACATTTTCATTATTGCTTAAAATGTGTTCCGGAATGCTAGGATAGTTTTTTTTTCCTCTTGGAAGGCAAAACAAACAATGATTTAAAGCAATTAATTAATTTTCACAAATAACAGTACGCATACTTTATTGTTTACAAAATATTCTAAGCAAAATAATCACGTTCGAACGAAAGATAATATAATCATCAGAATGCTTTCATATTATAAAAATATTCAATTAATATTGAAAATAATGATACTTTTTAAATAATACCATCAAAATATTTTCAAATATTGCACAAAAATATCGAATTACCATTTTAAAAAAAAAAAACTAACTTTTAAATAATCTCATTATAGCATTTACAAATATCTTGTAAAAAAATATTGAAATAATATCAGAAAAAAAACAATGCATTTTTTGCATAACTATATTTCTATTTCTCATAAAATGTCGTCATTTTAATGGTATTGGTATTGATAATATTAATAAAAGAAATTCATTAAAAATAATTGAATTATTTAAGCAAATTATTATGGATTATTAGATGCTACTTATATGTATTTCAATTTGAAATAATAATGAGATGTAATAATTTAAGCTGATTTAAATGTTTGGAAGATATGATCAAATTGATGAATTACAATCAAAGGTTATTGATGATAAATCAATAAAATCAAATTTGTTTAGTACTGTTGTTGAATTATGATGAATACAAATTACATTGAAATTATCATATATTTCTTAGGAAAAAAACATCAAAATGTTCGGGAGAAAAAAGAAAACAGAAATGAAAGAATGTGCTGAAATTTACATTTTTATTATATCGCCTATTCTCTATTTCGATCTTGAAGAAATCGAATTTTCATTATGGTGGGATCAGAGTTTTCATAAACTAAGCATTGTAGGTTAGCGTTAATTGCAGCTAGCTTGTTCTTTACTCTCGTTCTGGGTTTCCCGAACTGGGCTAAGAAGTGTGAAGTTAGGCTAAGAATGATTTCCAGTACAAGTTCTCGAAGAAATCTATTGATTGTTTATTGGAAAGTATAAGTTTTCGAAGGAATATATGTTATTGTTTATTGGAAATCGAAAGGGTGGTATAAAAATAATGGTTAAATCAAAATTAAAAATTGTTCAAATTGTTTTATTAGAATTTACTTATATTTTTTTCGCTTCTTTTTTGATCTTTCTCTTCATTCAATTTTTGATTTTTTTCACATGTGAAATGAAATTTCTTTTTCCATATTTTTGCTTTAAATTATAGTTCTATTTGTAGAGCATTTCATGTGTATTGTGAGCGAAAGTTTTTCTTTATTATTTGGTACTTAAATTTGAATTTTTATTTCTTTTGTTTTTTTTATTTCTTCTTTTGTCGCTTTTGTATGTTGAAATATCTTGATTCGGACTGCAATTTTTTACTTTAATTTTTGGCCTAATATTTAGTGGTTTCTTAACTTATTTCAATTAGTTAGATTTCTTTATGATTTGCTATTGGATTCCAGATTGGTTTTTTTTTTGTTTTATGGAAAAAATTGATTTGGATTCCTAGGGCACTTTACATTTTTCATTAAATTTTTATTTAAATCTGATTTACAGCAAACTTGCTATTTAAAGATCTTTTAAAGTGGATAATTATTGTAGATTGCAAGAGTTCAATGTTTTCAGGATTATATGTGTAAATAGTGTTCATTTTTGCACATACATTGGTGAAAGGACCGAACTTCTCTCAGATCTCGACGGAACTTAGAGGATTCACATAAGTTGACAGTATGTGATTGAAACGCACAAATAATGAATACACATCAAATGCTGATATTTGCCGCATTTACATTTATTTCTGCGACAAGTGTATTACCGTGGAATTTATTTATAAATGCATATGAAGTATGTCAACGTTATCATTGCAAATAAATAAAATGATATGAACTGAAGAATTATTAATGAGAGCACTGCATTATCTACCGGTCTGCAATTGGATAAATGGTTAAATTTGTATATTGAATAGATCGCTTTGTAAGTTACCTTCCAAAAATATAACGCTTTTTTTCTTTTTTAAAAGAAAAAAGCTAATTTTTTTCAGTATTATCAGTACAAGCTGCGTAATGTTACCGAGAATATAACTCTAATTGAAGAAAAAGATGGTACCGAATTACAGCGTACTTACGAGGGATGGGTTACACTTACAGGTGGTGTTTCATGCGCTTTTGGTTCAGGAATAAATTTTTTGGCGACAGGGCGGTATGATTCTTTTTATTTTTTAAAACTTAGGTTTTTACATTTCACTTCTATCGGATTTTCTTATAATATTAGTAATCGTTGAAATCTTTGGAATTTTTGATTATAAGAAGTTTAAAAGTCAGTCACATTAAACGATAACATTTGCTCATCTCTTTAACATATGATGTTATCATAGTTGCTCAAAAATTTCTCTACGAACAGCATCCATGTAAATCATTTAAACAAACAGTGGTAGATGTAATTGTTGTATAGGGCTTTCTCGTTCACATTGCTGGTCGTAGTTTGTAATCATGTAACTATATTGACTTGATTTGTTTAAAGACCTGGAAAATGTATTAGATCGTATGTACTTCGGATGAAATATTCAGAACAATAATTCAGCAAGGAAGCCCTTGTTATATTTTCTATCAAAAAAATTATCCTAAAATTTCTTTTCATATTGGGACATTCATTACGAATTCGAGCAGGTCATATGGTGGTACTATTGGCACTTGTTCCAACGATTTTATTAACATATATCGATACTGATGCATGTATGTTTCTGATTAGCTTTTTTTGTTAATATTATATATGTTAACATATAATCATTATAATTATGCTTATATTATTTATAGTCCAGTTAGCTTTTTTCTGTATTTCGATGTTGCTCGCTTCATTAGCAAGTTTTGGTTCGGTTGGTTTGATTGCTTGCGGTCTTTTGGGATTTTCAGCGAAGTTTCCATCTAAAAATGTAATTTTTTTTTTACTTTCATTGACGACCATATTTGTTTTTTATATTTCTTATATTGTATTTATATTGTATTTGATTTTTTGGTAATTTCTGAAATTTATCATTCTTGCTTTCGAAATTTTCAAAAATTACATCGCATTTTTTTGTTTTTTTTTTCTCTCACTAGAAATTTTGGAGTGCTTGAACATTCAATTTATTTGTTTATGCGTTTTCGAGTGCTCTATATATCCGTTTCAGGTACAAGCAGTAATGATTGGTCAGTCGGTGGCTGGGATCTTAAGTTCTCTATTGAACATTGTTTGCCAAACTTTTACAGCTAATGCTCTTATGAGTGGTCGTTTATTGTTTGCAGTTGCCTTTATTTGGACTATTTTTAGTGTCTTTTTTTATGAGTTATTGATTCGGTCGAACGAAACTGAATCGTATAACGGAATTAACCAGCTATCTGATCAACGGCTTCTTGGTATTTTTTTTCTTAATTTCCAAAAATTTTCTTCATGCTTAAATAGAGCTCTTTTATCTAATCTAATTCTAGAAATTTTGTTTCTTTTTTATTGATGATTTTTTGCTGAATGTCTTATCCATTAGACCATTAAGGACAAAATTTTTGTTTTTAAAACACAAAGAGCATTAACCTAGATTTGCATTATACATATTGGGATTATTTGAATTTAATGTCTCAGATAATAATAGTGTCAAAGATTCATAAAGAACAGTACTGTTTAAAAGCTGAAGACTAAATTTTATGTCTTCAGATAGTGTTGACGACACTTTCGAAGCGGATGAACCTCCGCTTCATTTATGTTCAGCGGAAACTCATTCGTTATGGAATGATGCAAAAGAAGTGTGGAAAAAAGTAAGTTCATAGGATTTATTTGCCGCATCCCTATTTTTATAGTTCCTTGTTGTTTTCTTGAGAAATGAAAAAAAGTGCAACAAAATTTCGAGAAGCTTATCTTTCAATCGTTCAGTGCTACCGGTTCCTATTAAAAAGAATGCTCCGAAATATAAGAATGCAATTAATTTCAGATATCTCGCATTTCTTAAAAAAGATTTGGTATTCATAAGTTGTTCTCATTACTTTAACTTCATGAAGCAGCGGTAACCTGATGTATTATGCTATGCTTATCAAAAATTATTTACTGGATAAAGTAATATTATTCATTTCAGACTGAGGTGGAGTGGTGGGCTGGTTTTATTGTTTTTTTCGGTACTATGACAGCTTTTCCAGCTATATCATCGTTAGTTCAAACAAGTGCGAGAAATTTAGTCTGGAAAAGTAAGCATATTAATTTCTTATCGATTAACTTCCACGAAGCTAATGTCGAAATACGACTAATTTAACACATTGTAATTAAGTTAGTCAGTTAAATATAATTTGTGCACAGTAATCATTATAGCAAAATGAATGCATAATAATATGATGTTAAATGGATTAGCTGTAATATTGAAAGCAGTGGCTGGTAACGGGACAAAATAATTGAGAGAATGATTTTGTATGGATTTAAAGAGGTGACAAATATCAATGGGATACTGTTTTGTGTAGAAAATGATGAACTTGTGGATGCTGATTGTTACTGATTTATTCTGAAATCTCTCACTGAAACTACCGTTTGCAGATTATTTTTCATCTCTCGCATGCTTTTTATTATTCAATTGTGGTGATACATTGGGTCGTTTAATCGTGAATTTCATTAGCCTAGTAAGTTGTCAATTTTAGCAACAGTCGAATCAACTGACAAGTTGAAATAATTAAAACAACGATTGA